TTATAATTATAAATTATAATTTCTCATTTATTATAATTATTTTAGGTTAGGAGCCCACCATGATGGTACCTCAAATGGCGCCGCAAATTGCTCTGCAAGCAATGATAATATCATGAGTGGTACACTTGCGTTGAGTCAGCACGAATTTGAATGGTCCAACTGCAGTATAAGGTCACTTCGCAAATTCCTCAGGTACGTTTTTTATACACCAATAAATAATTAATTCATACGAACCATAAAAATTTCAAGTTTTCATCGTTAACTTGCTGGATAAAAATTAAGTATTCGGGAAAATTTGTGTTTGCAAAATTTGAAATAGGAATTTTATATAAACTGTGAAATGTGTAATTCTGAAATATTTCAAGAGAAAAATCAGAAATTATTAGAAAATGTGATCTTTATCTCGTCTTTCGTCTAAAAAAAGAAAGAATCTCTTTAACGTGAAACATTGTTGTTGTCGGAAGATCCATGTTGCTATCTCTTAACAATCCCCGATTGATCTATTATCTCCCAGCAACCCATTCTACTATCTCTTAACAATACCGAATTGATCTATTATCTCTTAACACTTATACTCTCTTTTAGCTGCATTTACACTAATAAATAATAAGTTATAACAATTTCGTAATTTTCCTGTTGTACGCACGAATCGATTGTACTTTTTTTGTACATTTCCTGTGTTCTTTTCTTGAAACATAATTTCAAATTTTCACCACAATAACGGTGGTTTTTTTTTTTTTTTTTCGAATTAGCTCAAAGTAATTTATGTGTGCAACTTACTTGCAGCGAGGGTAAAGCGAAGTGTCTCTATGACGAACCACCGAAAGCCACGGTAATTAGACGTATTTTGCCTGGAAAATTCATGTCCCCTGATGTTCAATGTAAAAAAGCCTATAGCGGTAAATCGTGTAATGTAAGTTTTTGCACAGCATGCAAATGAAATTAAGCTAATTTAACGACAATTTTACAGAAAAATTCACCTTCGATGTGCTATAGTTTAAAGTGCACAGTTCCCGGAACTAATGGTTTATGTATTCCGATTGCGGCGGCAGCTGATGGTTCTTCTTGTGGAAATGGCCTTGTAAATTTATAGTTTATGCAAATTAATTGTAACATTTAAAGATACTTCATCGGTGATAATATTTTATAACATAAATGTTATTTCTTTTTTAACAGGTATGTCTTGATGGGGAATGCGTATTGGAGGGATCGGAAATTAAAAAGGAAAAACTTCGAACGTAAAAAACAGGAAATAAAAGCAAAATGTATTTTCGTATTGAATAATGAATCGTTTATTAAAATTAAAGTTAAGAAATCAAGTATAAAGAAAAGGAAATATTTGATTATATTTTGATATTTTATAAATGTATTATAATATTTATGTATACATATTACAAGTTATAACTAATTCAGAAATTTTGTATTTCTTTTAATACTATAATGAATAAACAGACATGTTAAATTTATAAATTACTCATACAATTACTGATAACTCTAATCAATCAAAAAGTTATCAATTACTAAAAAACACACAAGTGATAATTTATTAATGTGGTTCCACATACAAATATATAACTTACGTGTAAATATCACAAAAAAATCAAATGAGTAACATTACACATATATTTTACACTGTGTTACTTTTAAGAGTAATAATACTGATGCTACTGAACAACTTTTGGTTCTATTCCTATTTCCTCATACAACTCAGTTTTACTACCAGGATAATTATCTAAGATACAATCTAAAATTTCTGTACACAAACGTTTTCGTTTCACATATTCACGTGAAAACTCATTTAATGCTTGTTCTGCATTCCTCTTGGTTTCAGTTAAGTCTTCTGTACCACTAGCCTCCATTAATGTATCTAATTTATTGTTCATGACTGCAATACTCCCTTGAAGAATAGCTTTTTGTTTCTTTGCTTCTTCAATTGTAATACTGGACTTCATAGAAGTCAACAATGCTTCTTGTATCTTAATCTCTTTTTCTAATTCTTGATATTTGCTTTCAACTTCATTGGCATGTGCCTGTAATTCTTTATCTATTCTCATCAATTCTTCCACATCATGAGTTGTATCTTGAACTGGACAATAAACTTTTTGTTTTCCATAGACCTAATGTAAAAATCTTTTAATTACAATGATCTATTCCTATGTTAAATAATAAATGTCTTACTTTTTCAAATATCTTTCCTTGGCTTAATAAATTCTCTACAGCTTTCTGTACAGCTGTTTTACCATACTCATTATGCAAATTTGAAACTATTTCATTAACACTATAAGGTCTGTTTTGTATTTTCATATAATTGTATACAATTTCTGACATTGTGATTAATTTTTTATTTTTTGTATACAATATTTAAAAAAGTATTTATATAAGTTATTCGATGCTCGAATAGTTACACTTTGATTGGCTATAATGGCTATTATAGCTATTTATTTGATAGGTTGACACTTTATATTGTTAGGTTAAAAATTTGTAATTCTTCTTATTGAAAGCATATAATACTGATTATTACAGCAAAATATACAAAGATAACATTATAAACAAAGTGTTTATGTTCTTATATTTTGATTTCTAATTACTTTTACTCTACTAAATCACTTTAAAAATCAAATTGTAGGGTTAACACGTAACAAATCCTTTTACGAAATTCATGGATCGTGTGACCTACTTAGAAATCATACACGAATATCAAAAACGCGCGAACTTTAATCAAACACGTCCATGAACCATTATAATTTTAAAAAATGTATTTAATATAATACTTATGAAAGTAAAAAAATTGCTCTGGAACGATTTATTCTTTCTCTTAAAAATCACAAGTATAGTACTTTCTGAATCCTATTACGCTCACTGCGCATCACAAGTTGTGATGCATAACGATAGTACAGTGTAAGTAGTTTCTGGTTCAACCCTCCTGGCATATGAACGCCGGGTCATAATAACCTAACCTTGCTTTGAAAATATAGAAAGATGAGCCTTTGAAAATCGACAAATTGTATTACTAAAGCATGTTACAAATGACATTAAAAGCATGGGAAGAAGTATAACAAGAAAATATCTTTCACTTGCAATCTACAAATATATTTTCTTTTACTTTAAATTATTACATATTAATATCAATTTTCAAAAAGAAATAGAGAAATTTTTCCGAATAAAAATTTATTCTAAAGCACGTCTAGGCAAAAATTTTACGAGTCAGAATTAACTCGGCGACCGCCTTATACGCGATTGTCTCGTTGTTCGCCTTCCGGGGATTAAGCACTTAAGATGAAATTAACTTGTTTAACATCATAATAACTGACTATGAACAACAAAGAGCTATTTATTATTCATCTCATTCATCATTATTCTTAAGCTTTTATAAACTATTACGGCATACCTGCTCGCAGTATTTATTTATTGAACTTTAAATTAGTTACCAATCAAATACTATTGTAATAGATCTATTTTCAACTCACATTGTGTATACATATTGCTCCTAATATCTTTATACGCCCATAAAACCAAAACGCCTGTTCGTACGGTAAATACAGTAATATATTTACGTACGAACCGAGCATGATATTTGATATGCTTGTGTCCTATACACTCAACAGAAAAATCAAGGTGCGAGCCTCGTTAATGCGAGCAGAAACAATAACTGCCAGTGAATTTCTTGAAGCAAAATACGGAATACGTTGGAGAGGATAACTATAGGAATCTGTTATGCATATCTACGTATACAGAGAACATCAGTGTGAATAGAAGTTACACGTTAAAGACGTAACTGAGCGAGTTGTCACTGGAGACCGGGTGTGAATAGTGTTATCGAAAGAACGTGCTACTATACATTTGGAATGAGTGAATCAATTATAGTACAAACATTTTGAATCGTTCGACATGCCACATCGCTCAAATTAAAATTAAAAGTTGTGGTAAAGGTTAAATTACTGTTGCGATTACCGTGCTGCAAATTTTAACGTATTCGAAAATTTTGTGTTTATCCACGATTTATTCAAGAACAATGCTGTGTATCAAACAAATTGACTGTTACGTATCTACAATATTATATTACCCCATTATGTACATATCATTCTATTAAATGACAGTATGTTGCAAATTATATTATAAAAATTTTGCCTTACAAAAGAGTAAATAAAAATATAAATACGATTTCCGAGATTCGATAAACTTTAAGCAATTAAAAACATTGAGTCAACTGATATAATTAAAATAGAAGAAATGAACTCCATGGTTTTTGTGTGAGTTTGTGTGTGAGAAGATTGAATGTCAGAGTTCGAAAGTATCTGTGGGTAGCGAGTCAGTTGCTTACGGGAGCTCACTGAGAGTAGAATAAACCGGGTTTCGCTAGTTTGGTGAGATAAAAAAATATCTGTGCGTAATCCAATAGGATCCTATAAATGTTAGTAAATGTATATGTAGCGTTAAAGTTACAATCCCAAAATTTGGAATATCCTTCTTCTTAACACATGAACGCACATCAAATAATATCAAGAAATTTATAAAAACATTTTTCTTACAGTATTATCGTATCGTCGTTATTATTTACAAACTGAAAATAACGAAATTATCACTTTTTTTCGTTACATAAAATTTGTAACGTAAATTTGCGAGAGAGATTATGAGTATGTCATATTTATGTAAAAATATTAATAGGTTTCATTTTTCACCGCAATTTATTAGTAAACATTTCTTTTTACATATTTCAATTCATAAAAGATAATAATATTTCCTAATAATGTTCATGAATGCATGCTATTATTCAATACATTATTAAGTTCACAAATGTATTCAATCATAAACAATAATGTGTATAATTCATTGAATATCTTTACAATCATCATTATATTCTAGAGTAAGGCATACATAATTCCATTCAATCTCAATATTATCATATGATACACAGTCGACCATAAATGTTACACAATTTACGTGATTCATGACACCTGCAATTCATCGTGGAAAAATTTGGCAAAATACTTTCCTTACCTATTTGAATAATCTTCTTTAGCTCTAATCATCTTTCTGTTAAACAAACATATGAAACTTCATTATGAACATATCAACTGCAGAACTTCCATCCTGAAGTAACAAAACAAACGATATTACGCATGATTGCTTCGAATCAGTCGGAAGTGTAGATAAAACAGATTCGACACATCTGTCGTTTCTTAAATGATGTATAAAAACACTGCCAAATATAAGACCTATTCAGTGTTCTCGAAGTAACTCGAAATAATATTTTTCTAGGCAGCATAGCTAAGTACTGCACTGGAAAAATGGTATACGTGAACGGTGCGGTGTGCTTGTCCGTGTTACTGTTTATAATTGGCCTGTGTGTAGGACTGAACGTTAATAACTTCAAAGGAAGCGACGCTCTCGACTCAGCACCGCTTATCGACGGGTAAGTGATTTTCGATCTTACGAAAAATGGATACGAAAACGAGCAAGAAACGGAAATTGTGGTTGTATAACAAGTGATAATAAGTTCAATAGCAATATATTTTATAACAATAATCTGATCAACGGTCTCTTATTATATCTCGCAAATATTCTCACGCACTCTCTAATATCAATAACAACGCGGTTCTACTGGTTTGCTCCCTGTTTCTCTCTATGATCCGCTCGTTTTCCAAATCTCGAGACGATTCGAACACACTACATTCACGCCATCACTCACAACATATTATTAAACCAATTCCACAGAAACAGAGTTCAAGACGATAGAATTTGAACGAAAAAACTTTCTTGAAATGAAATATGGTAATAAAATATAATTATTATAAGCAATCCGATAGAAAACGATAGATGAATCCTAAGTTGGTAATATGTTAATATGGGGTTGTCATGTTAACTACTTCACAACAAATTAAATATTACAGTCAATAGAAAAATTATAATTGACGATGGTAAATTACAATAGAATTATATTAATAGTAATAAATTTTTTTTATTATTATTGGGCTACAGTATATAGATTAGACTAACAGACTAACAATAAACTATAATACATCAGAATTATAACGAAGCACAAACTATAGTAAAGAATGTGCTATAATCTTACGACAGGCCTGAAGGTCAGAAAATTATTATACTAAACCAATATGTATAACGGCAATAGTACATACTAGTAGTGTAATTAATATGTTCATCTAATCATTATCCTATACATAAATTCATAAATTATAGTTTAATTATAATTTACCACAGTTTACTAAAACTTTACGTAGTAACCTACTATACAATCTTCCACTTTTCACGCACTTCATTTGTTATTTTATCAAATTTATAGTTACGATTAGTTGTCACTGCAAACTATAATCTCTTCATATATAGTTACCATGAATTGCACAACAAGCGAAAGTGAATTCCGTCAAAAGTGTGTTGGTTAGAATGTTTTGATATCTATGCGTTCGATATCAACGTAACTCTGTTGAAATTTTCAGCAGTGGATGATACAGTAGAATTTCTTTCTGTGGGAACAATCTATCTAATAATAATCTAATCTAATAATAATCTATCTAAAGTATTTTGCACCCATGTTTCTGTGACGATTATCATTCAGCATTTTCAATATATATATTTATTTTAAAAACTTTTATTTTATTGCTTTTACTATTTCGTACAAAGTTGCATAACACGTTTATGGAGGACAGTACGTGGAGAGTACAATTATTTTTAATTACTGTTTACATTGTATCGGATGCAAGCACTATTACTACTCATGTTTTATTACTATTCGTGCATAAAGCTACGAAGTTATGCTTTCAAAAATAGCAGTACAACTAGGAAACGTGTATGTTTTGCATACTGTATCAACAAATATGGCCTTCTTGACAGAATACAAATTATCACTAACATAGAAAGGTTCGTGCATTCTTCTACATGAATTAGACAAAAATTAAAAATTCTTAAGTGGTTGTTATTTTGTCCATTAAGTGTCTTTAAAGTATTTAGAGAATAGCTTACATAATTTTATCGTCCACTTATTCGGTAGTTACTCATTTTCATATTGGATATTTTGTAGCGATAACATTTGGTTAAAGTTTTCAAATTATTTGCCGATAACAATTACAATTTTTCTTATTGACTCAACTAATGATTCAAATTTCAGTTACGAAACGAACACTATCTTTTATTGTTATTGTGGTGGTACTTCCTACTTTTCACCAATAGAGAGACTAATTGGTGAAACATTAACCTTTATCGCAAGTTCGCGACAAGGCTCTTATTAGTACACATATAATAAACGAAATAAAAAATGTACTATAAGCATCTTAAAAGCCACTTCGAACCACATTATGCGATATAAAAAAAATTTCAGTCGGTTGACTAATAACAGAATAATCTAAGCTGATTATGTTAAACGGTTCACCCCGTATAATTAGCTTTATATGAAGCCTAGGATGAAATGTACATATGTATTTCTCTTTCCACTTTTTTCGCGTCTATTTTCTCTCTCTCTCTCTCTCTCTCTCTCCATTTCTGTCCTCCTTCCATCAACGCGACTCTTTAATTACGCTTAAATGCGAAACAAATAGTGGAACGTCAAAATAAAGTCAGTTTGTTTTTATAAATTGCATAAAATAAAATGCTATAAATATTAATGTCTTTATACTAACGTTGTAATTTTTGTTTTGCAACAATGTAAACGCTCAAGTTGTGAATGTACTTTGTGCAACTTCGTCTATAAAATGACTTTTCACTATTTATGTTATTTCAGTCACAATGATCTGGCCTACAACTTGTACGAGTTGCTGAACAACAACTTGGACGAGTTCAACTTCACAAAGAATTTGACTGACGACCAAGTATGGGGTAGAAATGCGTGTGACTCATGCTACACAGACCTTCCACGCCTGAGGAAAGGGAAACTTGGCGCGCAAGTGAGTGGAGAGTTTTGCAAACACAGAAGATAATTTCAAGGAACGTCGTTTTATCGACTGTGCCGTCGAACAAATTAACCAGCTTATTTAACAACGCATCTTATCTTTTCAGGCTTTATGCTCTGTCACCCAATTACCCTTACTCAATATACCAATATTTGTCATGACTTTAATTTTCTGCTCTTCTTCGTAGCATTTACCTATTTACTTTTTTAATATTCGTTTATAATTAATGCAGTGTAAAATATTGAGAGTCGCAATGATATTTCGGAAGCAGTATGTATTGTATCATTGGATATTAGAGATTACTGGTTTCGTTGAATCACGTCTATCAGTGACTTTATATTGCGCACTCACTTTTCACGATTCTATGATTTATAACTCGTAATTCCAGTCTAGTAACAAGAGACTAGTGTAGTAATATACGGATTGCAAAAGTACTGTAATAAACTTAAGTTAAAAATGACTTGGTACACTATAGTCTCTAGTAAAATGTCACTGTATTATATATTATATTACAGTCTGCGTTATCAGACATTAATATGTTTTTCGACCGCTTGCAGTATTAATTTTAAATCCAAAATATTATTCCCAATTCTTCGTATCTTATGCTACAAACATAGATTATCAAATTTCGTGCCTTAGTATAATATTTGATTATGCTTGAACTATTCATATTATAGAAATGTAAATTTTAGTTCTGGGCCGCGTATGTCGACTGCGCGTCGCAATACAAGGATGCGGTGCAGCTCACATTGAGGCAAATCGACGCTATCAAGAGATTAGTCGCTAAATACCCGAACGATCTAGAATTCGTAACGGAGGCCAAAAACATCGAGGAGGCATGGAAAAACGGAAAAATTGCTTCGATGATTGGTGTCGAAGGTGGTCACTCCATTGATTCTAATTTGGCTGTTCTCAGGCTCTTCTACGAACTCGGTGTGCGTTATATGACGCTCACTCATATGTGCAACACACCATGGTAAAATTTATCGAATTTCGTTATGATAAATTAATCGAGGAAAAACATTCTTTTATCTACTAGAAGAAAAAAAACTACATACAAACTAAATGTTTTACTTTGCAATCCTTACTTCACGTATGAAACTTGTATGTATTTTAAAGTAAAGTAAATAGAATTTTAATGAACGAAGAAAGGAAATAAAATATCGTTTAAGAAAGTGAAGTGGTACTTTCTTTAAAAAAAAATGTACAGCATATATTAAAGTCAATGCTAATAAGCATAAATAAAAGAAAAGTAAAATATTGATTTGTACAATCTAATGCATGTTTTTTTTTTTTATAGGGCTGACTCGTCGTTGGTGAACGATAGTTCCGTTCATAATCTCACAGAATTCGGAGAAGTATGTTGAATGTTTTTAATTTCTTAGTATTCAGTTCATTATATAAAAATTTATATTCATAATATTTCGTATCTTAATATAGGCTGTTGTTTATGAAATGAATCGGCTGGGAATGTTGGTTGATTTGTCCCATGTGTCACATAACGTTATGAGACACGCGCTGTCAATAACGAAAGCCCCTGTTATGTTCTCTCACTCATCCGCATTCGCTATTTGCCGTAATTACCGTAATGTCCCTGACGATGTTCTCCACATGGTCGTAAGTAATTTTTCATGTTTGTTACGCACACTTTGTGACAATATATACGATATAATTCTAAGGACATTTTCAGAAAAGGAACAATGGTATCGTGATGGTGAACTTCTACTCGCATTATGTGAATTGTAACTCCTCGAGAAAAGCGACAAACCAAGATGTCGTAGGTATGGCGCTTGAAACTGAACTTTTGTGTTCCATATCATTTAATCAAATTTAAAACAAAGTAATTCAATATTCATTTTCGTTAAATTTTCGCTAATAAAAAGTGAATCTTGATTAGTTTCACGCGTAGACTTCCGAATTAGTTACCTCTAACATACTTAAAAGAATTATGATTGTTAATTAGTTTTTCACGTAATGAGCATTATCCTTTCAGATCATATCAATTACATTCGTAATCTTATCGGAGCGGATCACATTGGTATTGGAGCTGATTACGATGGTGTAACATCGTGAGTATCGCGCGTCAATGATATAACATGTAAATCTTGATATTAAAATTTAAAAACATTTTTTTAAATATGGAATCAAATGTTTCAGGATGCCAGAGGGCTTGGAAGACGTTTCTACGTACACAGTTTTATTCGACCGCGTCTACGAAAGTGATGTGGAACCACGATGGACCAAGGAAGAGCTCGAAAAATTAGCTGGCCGGAATTTGATCCGTGTGCTCAAAGCTGCAGAAGAAGTATGTGGAAAAACGTTTAATTAGAATAATTTCCAATTTTAATTTCAAAGTATAAAAATGTACTAATTTTTGTTGTTCTATTTTGTCAGGTGAGAGATCAATTAGCTAAAACGGAACAGCCACGGGAAGATATCATAAACGCTAGAGATATTATGCAAGGTGAAATAATGAGCAATGTACCACCAGGTTCATGCTACACCGCAAATGAGTAAGTACAATAATTTAAATACATTTACATCCCTTCATACGCTTCATTTATTTATATATACATAATTTTGTTTATGTAGATGGGCTCCTCTAATACGGGAAATATTTAAATCAAAAGTAACATAGTACGACATTTTGCAAGCAAAAAGATTTATTTTCATATGCCAATCCAACATGTAAAACCGAACAATATTCAATAAAAATGTAAAATACCATTTAATTTGTCTATTTGTAAAAGGTACAAATTATTCCTTGCGTCTTTTTTATAAAAATATTTGTCACAATATATTGCTAAATGTTATTAAAATATTATTGCACAACTTACCAAAACTAGATATTGTATATTATTACAATATATAAATATTTTATTATAGTACACATTTACAATATCTAACTGATAAATGAACAAGAACGCATATTTATACAACTATGCAGGGTGTCCAATTTTAACGTAAGTGACCTCGCCTCCACCTATCAACATCCCGCCTGCATGTTACCATGTCCTCTTCGATCTCTAGCGTATTTTTCGAAGTATTTGCAATAATAGATTAAAGTGGGACACCTTGTATACATGTACATATTTATCACAATATAAAATAATGTAAATTACTCACATAAAATCAATACTCTTATAACATAATACACCACTTACATGAACAAAATAATAGACGAATATAAATAATTCCATAAATAAACTTAAATATGCAACTTATAAACCATAAACAGATTAATCTAGTATATTATTATTAGCTGGTTTTAATGAACCCATTTTCCACTCCATTGCACCAATCAGTCGACTTCTGCGATTTTTGCATAGAATTTACAAAAGTAATAAATTCTTTCCTGAAAATAAAGAAGCATCCAAGAACACTTTAACAACATATTCTTTTTTGTACTTATTTTTACAAGCTCATCCACACATTTATACTAACCATTGACTTTTCCTCGCAAATGGATATATTTTGGGTGCATTGAAACCATTAAATGGAGAGCTAACAGATATGCTATATGATCCCATATCTGTCCAGATTAACCAGTCACCAATGTGAAATTCTTGTAACATTACATCTTTCAATATACAATCCAAAGAATCACAAGTTGGACCCCAGACAGATGAAGGGAATTTCTCGTCGCTTGCTGGCTAAGATAGAATAAAAAAGTAACAAAGAATTAAAAACAGATTTAATAATAAAAATGATAGTAAGTATACCTATAGCTTTCTCCCTTAATTTTAAATTTAATACAATTTCGACCAATGAGAAGCATAGAATAAAAAATTATACCCTACCTTATCTAATGGAACAGGCAGTCTTGCCTTTAAATTCAGTAATTCCTCTATGAAGCAATTATACACTCCGCAACTCATAAAGTACATTCTGATCATTTTCTCCCCGCTGGAAACAACTCTCTTCGTGTGCAAGTACGACGCCAAAGTGAACGCCGATGTCACATAATATTGTCCTGGTTCACTAATGATCTTGATACTAGGGTCAATATCTTTAATGGCATCATTAATAATATTGGCAGCCTAAATGTACCAAAAACAACATTACAACTTTATCAACCACCAAAGTGTCAGTGGATAATAAATGAAGCGCAACCCACTTTATCGATACAGTAATCTCTGTTACCAGAAAATCCACCACCAATATCGATCAATTGAACATTCTCACAACCTATCGATTTAGCAACGCCCATTAATTTTTTGCATATTTCAATCCCTCTGCTGTAAGCGCTCAAATCGCCACAAGGACTACCAACGTGAAAACTGAAGCCCCATAACGTTAAACCGAGGCTTTTCGTCAAATGTATCAATCGAACCGCTTCGTCGTCCGGATCACAACCAAATTTCGTTCCAAGAGATACTAAAGAACCCTTAGCATCGCAACGAAAACGAATCACTATTCTATTGATCATGCAGAAGTAAGAAAGATTATTTCGAAAGTCCATTATTGAATTTGATATTTTCCTCGGAAGTTAACGTTGCTACACCTACTTTGCCTCTGGGAAAACGTCTTTAATCTTGAGAATCTCCAACTCTCCGTCCACGGTCATTACGTCAACGTTAACCTTTTTGGCGAATTTGATCTGGATAGACCATTTAGTTGGATTCGCGAAGATGATACGTTTCACGGACACCCCTAATTCCATTACCTGCTTTATTTCTTCCTGATAGATAAAAAAGAAAAAAAATGTGGTACATTCTAGAAGAACCTTATGGTGGTAATATTACAGTTTGGAAACGGTTTGTTGACATTAAGAGACATACTTCGGATGCACAGTCGAAACTGCAATTCATGGCTGCCAATATCTTGAGGACCATAGGGTTCGAATTACACTTGACAGCTGAGATTTAATACAATATTAATTCATACTATACCTATATACAAAAATAATCAAAAGAAAATGAAACAACTAATCTTATTAAAAAAAAAAATCTTTTAGGATTTTAATATACACACTTATTACAGTCTGTTAATAAAAATCTAAAACTTCAATCGTTTATATCTGCGGTACCAAACTATCCTCTTAAATCTTTACAAAATAATTTATATCAATTAATGTCAATATTAAAATTATAAAATATTTTATCACGAAAAGAATTGAACGGATGACACTAATAATAAATTTCAACATTTCAGAATTCTCGTCTTACCGTAGTGCGGAATGACTCTTGGCATCTTCGACATCCAATTCTTATGTTTCTGCATCATATCTGCAACATCCAAAATACAGAACGGTTCCTGCGTCGTATCATGCTCCTTGTCGATGATACTCCTGATTATGTTAGTGTCCGTATCCGTATCCTCGAATAATTTCACTTCGTTGAAGTTTATACAAGACATCTTGATAGTAGTTTTGAACTTCTAAACGTGACGAAGTATCTGCACGCTGTACACGATGGAAAAAAGGAAGAATCTCTATGAATACTTCTAAATAATCTGAAGACGCAACGATAAGATCATCTCATTTTAGGTACAATCATTGGACGTTTGACATTTGTTCAATGATAAGACACAACAGATCTTAAGGGTCACTGTAACACGATTTCTATAATAACGCGAAACCTGCAGCTCGATAAAAAAAATAACAGTCACAATATACAATTATAGTTACACATATTGAAAATAGTCGCTATAAAAATTGAAAGAATTCCAGAAAAATGCTCGATCGTTGATAATGTTTACTCGTATATAGAAGAACAGTGTTTATTGGTGCAAGTTACGAGTGCACGAAGTATGAAACTCGAACGGCAAGTTTGGCTATTCAAATACGATAATTATTGTGTAACTACGAAAAAAATAAATGTATACCTTCTTTTCTTCACACTTATCGGTAAACCAAGGTGAAACTGAATATAAATTTCACGGTTATAATTTTAACTGATTACACTGAAATATAATAATTCCAACAATAATTCTCCTAATTTTTTTTTAATGAATATTATAGAACTCTCGATTTTTCTGTATGAATAATATTTTTTAACTACACTGTAGGGGAACACTAAGGTTGACCGCTATATATACGTACGATAATAGATCACTTTACTAACTGACGTAATAAATTATGCATGTTTGAGACACATTAGTTAAAATATGCAAAATTGTTATTTTTATCGTTTTCTTTCAAATTGCAGAATTGATAGTCTTTCACGATAAAACTATGTCAAATTTTAATCTCCTATCTGAAAGGTACAAAAAGGTACAATGTTTTATTATGTTTTCCTGACACATTATCTGCTTTGCTTCATATTTTCAATGTGCACATTTTGCAGAGAAAGGATAAAAAATGAGAGGATAATTTAATATTGGCGGTATCTCAACGGAAATTATTAATTAAGTAGAATTGAATTTCAACGAGGTTTGGTTACTATCGTTTTAAATTAAAAGATCAATTCTGTCAGCGAAATATTTCTTTTTTCATACAATATTCCTAACGTTGTTTCACCGAACAAAAATGTATACTTTGCAGGGGATAGACTACTAAAAGAGGGCCTACTTTTATTTCAATAATTAATTGTCGGGATTAATTAACAATGATTAATTAACTTTATTCTGTCAAATTAGAAAATTATGAAAATTATGAAAAGACTAATATGGCGGGGATAGTTAAATAAGTAAAAAATGAATGAAACGATATTTAAATATACATTTATTTAGCTCGCTATTAATTCTTGCGTATTATGTCAAGCGATAAAAATACAAATTCAAATCTCGAAATGCAAGTTGAGATTCAAATGTGAGACAACTACATATTTGGCTTGTTGAGGCGCCTGTACGATGGCAAGCAGCGTAACATCATCGTAAACTTGATTTTTTTTCTCAATGTTCCTAAAATCTCTCTATCTTTTTGAAAAGTGTGTTTTATAAGTATATTTTATAAATCAAACGGTACTTTTTTCAAATTGATCTCACGATGAGAACAACGTGAAATTGGCATTTCAAACTTTAATATCGATTATAATGATATTTGTTAATAATAAATAAAACTTCATATATATGTTTTAAGTTTTGTAAACTTAAAACATCACCAAAATTTCTACATATTATAATATAATTTTAGACAATACGACAATATAATTTTCGCCATGTACTGTGTATGACATTGCTTTACAAATATCGCTTAAAAATCAAAATGATTTGATTATATGACATTAAAATCGCAACTTCCAATTTTCACGACGACAAAGTTCGTAACATTTAATGTCATGAAAACGTATACTCTTATTGCATTCTCTTAAATAACTACGTCTGTATGCAGTCAATTTAATTTTCGCTGTTATGTAACAACGTGAACCTCTCTTATTTCTTTCGATCCATTTTGAAAATTATCGTTACCCTTTAGCATTATTAGATATCGGCATTTTTGTTAATATATGCGTTGCTATTATTTTCAAAATTATATATGTATTTTTTCCGGAATATTGAATCATGAAATTATGCTTCAGATACGGCGTAACAGTTTATTATATTGTTGTGTAATACAAATTTTTCGTAATTACATATGGAGTGAAAGAAAATTAAAATGATAACAATAGAGTGTAACACAAATTATGTAAAAAGTTATATTGAAAAAGGTGTAAAATACAAATGTATCATTCATATACATACATTTTAAAATTACGTTGTATTCATATACATACACTTTTACACAGATTGTGTCACATTTATGTACAGAAAAAATAATTTTCTTTCCGTACTAATATTAAAAATAGTATAAAAATTCATAGATAATGCAAATTGTTGGTTACATCGGAACTGTAATTATATTTAAAACAACGACGACAATATGATAAGAATGATAAGATTACGAAACCAAAAAATCAACTATTTTTCAAAATATTATATAATATATAATAATTAGAATTATATAGTAAGTTCTAAAGATATATTTCTCTAAGGAGAATGTAATACTTTTTTCATATTAATATTATACTGATACTGATTATACTTACACTGATATAATCAAAATAGTACGTGAAGAAATAAAATAATACACAGCTATAATTAAATAATAATAATCCTGTAAATTATCGTTCGCTTTGACACCGTAATTAGAATTTAAAACAGGAACATCATAAGAATGAATTACTTTTCGAAAATTTACCTAAATAAAAGTTTAGTAAAATAATAAAATAATAAAAGTTTTCTAATTTTCTCAAGCAAAGATAATTTTTGAAAATAGCGTACACGCGTATCTATAATGTGTACAAAATAATTTTTTTTCTATGTTTTAGTTTGTACACAAAAATAAAAAAAAGTGGAAAAAAATTAATATTCTCAGCAAAGTTTTTAACTGTTAGTCTTAACACTAAGAAATGTACGCAATAATCGTTGTGTCAGTTGTAAAAACAAAATGGTATTATTTGAATATTACTGATATATTTAATTTCATTATTAATGTTAATATCTACTATAATGCTTGCTTACATTATGCAACAATTTATAAAATAAAATATAAATGTATAACAGATGTAATTGAACGGTAAAAATTTCCAGTAAATAAAGTAGAGTACTGTTATCCATGAATAAATCCTTTTAATTTTTCTAAAGTTTTAAATTATTAAATTTTATCACTAATAATTTATCATTTCATTTATTTTTTCGAAATAATTAAAAAGTTTTATACAACAGAGAATGAATGTTGTCAACCATATTCAAAGCTTTTAATATGATATAAAACAAAGAAATCCTTTTATCCCATTTGAAGTGAAACAAAGTGTTGAAAGTGCCAAGTGGCTGTTATTGATTTATTAAACTTAGTTCAGGCATCACTGTAAATTTTAATGAAACGCACAAAATAATAGATTTTACATGTACCGCTAGTTCTCTGTAATTGTAATAACCATCAGATGGCGCAGTAATTTGAACACTACTTGAATACACGGGAGTTTCCAAGCTCTGGTGTGATCGGCAGCAAAATGGCAGCGAGCGACTCTACTACGGACGATAGTCTTTATCCGATCGCGGTTTTAATCGACGAATTAAAAAACGAAGATGTACAGGTAATTCTAAAAGTGTTTAAGATCGATATTCTTACAATTTCAAAGTAATCGGCTTGTTGTACCGACCGCAATCACTCGAGAAAGCAGAGTGTCAAGGCGGTTACAACGGTAGCGTACGATTCAATAGAATATTCTTTTAATCTCCTGTCATTATATTCTAAACGTTTTGTTTTCAACGCTAATACACTCAACATTGTAAACTATTCACGCAACCATACTCTCGACGAAAACTTCAACCAACAAGAGACTTAAATTGAATGGAATATATTTTGTTGCTTGGAAAAAAGGAAGCGTTTGAGAAACTAATGAATGAATGTAAAGAGTTGGCTCACACATTCACAGAATCTCTTTTTTTACAGTTACGGCTGAACTCAATAAAGAAATTATCTACGATTGCTGTTGCTTTGGGCATTGAACGAACACGTAGTGAACTAATACCATTTTTGGCTGAGTCTATGTATGATGAGGATGAAGTTTTATTGGCATTGGCAGAACAACTTGGACAATTTACTCCTCTTGTAGGAGGTCCGGAATATGTACACTGTTTACTGGTATAAATGATTATTTATTATTTTGTTCAGTCAATAAACTACTAATAATGTTTAGAATATTTTAAGCATTTAATTTTAAACTTAGTTTATAAATGTTAAATTAATCATTTCTTTGCATGGCAGTAAACTATATTTGAAGAATTATGACTCATAAGTAATTGTACTACATAGCAATTCATTTTTTATATAATTACTCAATGCATATATTGTTCTAAACTAAACAACTAATTAATTCTAAATAATATTGCTCACATATAATTATTTTTAACATTGTAGATATAAAACAGGGAAAATTGATTGTAGAAGTGATAAAACATATCTTATCTTTTATTTTTGAATATGAAATATATTTATATCTAATGTAAATTAAAAGTATAAAAATTTAATATCATTGACTTAATAAAAAATTTAATGTTAGTAACAAATTTTAATGAAACTTTATGTCTTCATTTAGAAACCTTTAGAGAATCTGGCAATGGTTGAGGAAACTGTAGTGCGAGAAAAAGCAGTTGAATCTTTAAGAACCCTTGCTGCTCAACATAGCTCACAGGATTTGGAAGAGAAATTTGTCCGTATGATAGACACTTTGGCTACAGGAGATTGGTTTACATCAAGAACATCTGCATGTGCTTTATTTAGTGTTTGTTACCCACGTGTTAGTCCAGCAGTCAGAGGTAGAAAAAGAAAGATTAACATCTTGGAATCCATAAATTGAACTTTGTACAAATATTTTTATTTTGTAGCCTGTTTACGAAATCATTTTCGTAATCTGTGCCAAGATGATACACCAATGGCACGTCGAGCTGCTGCTTCACATTTAGGAGAATTTGCAAAAGTTGTGGAAATTGAATATGTAAAAGGAGACTTAATTCCAATGTTTGTTATTTTGGCTCAAGATGAACAAGTAAGATAATATATAAACATTACGTCAATCAATTTTATAACATTAATAACGTTTATAGTGTTATGTTTTATGTATTTCAGGATTCAGTACGTCTTTTAACTGTTGAAGCTTGTGTTTGCATTGCATCTCTGTTGCCACAAGAAGATGTAGAACAATTACTTATGCCCACATTTAGACAATGTGTAAGCGATCAATCATGGCGTGTACGTTATATGGTCGCTGAGAAATTCATTGAAGTAAGTTCTTTTCAATACAGTTTTTCTTTAATAGCTATTTAATATAATTGTTGATCAATTTTAATTTCCCCTTTATAGCTTCAAGAAGCTGTTGGCCAAGAAATTACAAAAACAGATCTTGTACCAGCATTTCAAGTAGTATTAAAAGATATAGAAGCGGAAGTACGAGCTGCAGCGGCTGATAAAGTTCGTGATTTCTGTCAGAAACTTGAAATGTACAGTCAAGAATCTATCATTATGTCAAGTATATTACCAATAGTTAAGGAACTTGTATCAGATCCAAATCAACATGTAAAAACAGCTTTAGCAAGCGTTATAATGGGTCTTAGTCCAATAGTTGGGAAACGCAAGTAAGTAAATATATATATGTAAGTATATAAAATGAAAACATCATAACAATAATGAATCATTTAAATTCACAGTACAATCGAACATCTGTTACCATTGTTTTTAACACAACTTAAAGATGAATGTTCAGAGGTCCGTCTAAACATTATCAGTAATTTAGAATGTGTGAACAAGGTCATTGGCATACAGCAGCTTTCACAAACTCTTCTACCAGCTATCGTAGAATTAGCTGAAGATTCAAAATGGCGAGTAAGGTTTGCAATCATAGAGTAAGTATTTTTTATACCTCATTATACAAAGTTACATGTTAAATATATTAAAACCTTAAAAAATAAAAGTAATTAGAACAAAATATTTTATATGCTGTATATACACATATGTTTTTGTATGCATCCTAGATATATGCCATTACTAGCTGGACAACTTGGAGTTCAATTTTTTGATGAAAAACTGAATTCTTTGTGTATGACATGGTTGGTAGATCATGTTTACGCTATCAGAGAAGCGGCTACGTTAAATTTGAAAAAACTGGTAGAAAAGTTTGGACCTGAATGGGCACAAAATACTGTAATACCTAAGGTTTTAGCAATGTCAAGGGATCAAAACTATCTTCACAGAATGACATGCCTATTTTGTATTAATGTGAGGAAACTTTATTATTATAATGCAGGATTATATTACAATTCATAGTATACTAGTTTATATTTTGAACTCTCTGTTTTTCGTAGGTATTGGCGGAAGTATGTGGTCCGGAAATAACAACAAGGGTAATGCTTCCAACTGTCTTAGGTATGGCCACTGATAATGTTGCTAATGTACGATTTAATGTTGCTAAAACTCTGAAAAAAATCGGTCCTTATCTTGAGCCATGTGCAGTACAGGCTCAAGTAAAACCTGTACTTGATAAACTCAATACTGACAGTGATGTTGACGTGAAATACTTTGCTTCAGAAGCAATTGCAGGCATCGCAGGTAAAATTTTTATTATTTTATCTCACGAGAAAAGTTACTCATAAAAATACTATTTTTATTCTATTTAAAAGAATTCCAATAAAATTATTCGTAAATGAAAAAACTAATTTTTGCTTATTATCTTTAAATTAATTTTTTATGTAATATATTTCAGCGTAGGTTGAACAAGAAGAAACTGCATTTAAAATTTATCCATCAATATTCAGAACCTCAATCTCAAGAAGTAACTTGGCGCAAACATTTACACTTACACATGGCAACAGGTAATATTAATGCACAGTCAGAGCAGATCTAATGTCGAGAAATATAAATATCAAATTAGTAGTCCACACTAAACAATATTTTAAGTTCTGTTGTATCTGTATATCTATAATTATATTACTTATTAAATATTCGATTTAATTGGTAAAATGTATTTCTTATACGTACCTAAATAATTATCTAAAACATAATATAGTTATAATAAAACGTACTCAGAATCATTCCTAAAATCAGACACCTCATTATAATCTGCTCTTCCACATTCACTGATCAAAAATTTACTTTGTCTTTTAATAATCAGTATTTTAGTTTGGTATATAACATTGTTAAGTATTGTCTTTGTAAACATAACAATAAAATTAACAATGAATAATATATTTTTGTACTGGCTTTTTTATTTAATGATTAACTTTGACACCATACAGTATGTATCATATTGCACTTATCATTACTTTTTTCTACATGGACATACTCATAGCTGATATTAATACATATTTATATTTTTTTGTATTTCTATAAGAATATATTCAAGTTAGTTGTATCAAATTATATGTTAGTAAATAACATGCTTAAGTTTCATCCGCAGGATAATGAAAATAATAATATGGTGCATCATAACAAACTCC